CATTCCTGCAGGGTGGGAGGAGACTCCAGCCCCATGCTGCCAAATGTTGCAAGACCAGAGAGTGCAGTTTTGAGATACAGCCTCTATTGACTCTATGAATGGTTCCAACTCATTTAAAGCTTTTATTTTTTAAAATTATTAGATACTAGTTAAGTGTCCAAACAAATTTGAATTCTGAGAATGAAATCTTCCCATGAGAACTGTGAACGAAATGGTGAATTATAGTTATTATATACTTATATAAGGAAACAATCTTTTTGGAACACTTTCATATTCCATACAGGGATTTGCACCTGCCTACCCTCAAGACCACCTCTCTCTTGATGTCAGACACTGATAACTGTGATCAGCAGAGGCTCTTGAGCTGAATGTCCTTCATACAAAAATAAGCCTGGTGGGAGATTTATTTTCTGTAAGGGGCCCTTTCTTTTGGAATGCTCTGCCTCTCAAGGTCTGAAGTATTCTATATGTGTTGATCTTCTTTCTGGGCATGCTGCCATGCTGAATTGTTTGAGCAACCATAGGCTAAGGCCTTAAGAGTATTTGAGGGAGGGATTTGCATGTAGGAAAAATGTGGTGGTTTTAAACTGAATTGATCACAGAATTGGTGATCAAATGATTCATGTTAGGGTAGAAAAGGAAGCACTGTTGCTTTGATTTTTACTTTGTGGCAGCTGTTTTCATATGTATTTTATGAAGCTTGATATAAGGTCAGATTCTGGCCTGAGCTGCAGATGTGTGAAACTCTCACTCAAGTAATCAGGAGCAATGTGTGCGCATCTCTGAGGGTAAAATCTTATGATTATTTTCATATGACACAAGTATGCATGACTTACAGATAGTTTTAAAATATTGGCTACATCTGTATTCACAGTGCAAATGCTATGGCAACAGAGCATTATGAATGCATACAGTTCTGTGATGCTATTTCATGTCATCAATGTTTAAAGTCACTCAAACCTTTCAGCTTACGAAGGTGTCACAGAGGCACTTACTAATCTTCTTTCTCCAGATAGTGCTGTTATCACAGGCAACCTCCTTCCTACTCAGATGTGAGTGAGCTGACTTTTCTGTGATAACTATGCTGGTGCTTAGAACTTGTGTCGTAATGACTTCAGCAAAAATAGACACTTCCATGTTTATAACTTAGCTATTTATAAATATGTTTAAAATCCCAGAAGACTCTAGCATATTTGAAAGCTTACTAGGCTGTATATTTGCATTTTAAAAAGCACATTTATATCTGAGTTATTGAAATGAGAAAAGCAATTTGAAAACAGTGAAGACTGATGTCAGTTTTGGATGGGCAAGGAATACAGGAAAGTAACCTTTACTGTGTTTTCTTTATTTTTACTTTCTTAAAACATTCTCTGACTACTTACTGTTGTCCAATTCCAGCCAAGAGAAAGTTTTTATTGCAGAGACAGAAGGTAGTGAGAAACATGAATTATAGAAGAAAGGCTGACAGAACCTTAACTAGAGCAGCACTAGCTGGAGTCACTATAAAAATAATAAAGATTGAGTATGATGGCTATAAATAGATGAGCCATTTTAGTAGTTTGCCACTGAAGTAGTTTAATAATTCCATGCTGAGTCCCCTTTCAACAAATTTAATGAAAATCAGCATGATGTTGTGGCAGCTACTATTGCATTCTTCTACCATCTTCTTGTGCTTCATGGTGTGAGAGATTAAAATAGCATCTAATAAACTAGTATTAACTGTTCTACATCTTTCATGTGAGGCACAAACTGACAAAAGCCTTTATAGACAATTCTCCCTCCTTTGGAGGGTGCCCCTGTTTTTCCTGTTCACAGTTGTAGTGCCTAAGGAGCTAGGAATTGCTAAATAGCAATTTTGTGGTCTTATTTCCCATTCATTATGAGTGTCGGTATGGAGCTACTCTGAGGCATTCTGAGCAGGAAGTAATGATTTGATTTGCAGCCTACTGTGAAAATTTATTAATCTGAAGGGGCCCTTCTGAAATCCTACTTGATGAGCAAAGAATAACATATGCCTGTATCAATGCCATTATTCATTGATCTCCAAGGGATATGAATGAGACATAGTGACATTTTAAGCCTAGAAAATATTTTCATTCAAAATACAAGATGAATTGCTTTAAAATGTTGTTCTTTATTTTCTCTTTTTGAGTGTCTTGATTGTGTTTTAGGATCAATAATCAAATATGTATGCATTATAAAGCTTGAAGTACTAAGAACCTCCAAGGGAGTTATATGCAGGATTCAACTGTCAAGTACTTTTTATAACTTAATTATTTCTACACTTCATGGTTTCTAATATCCTCCTAGTGCATGGAATGGCACAGGACAGAAATTGTGACCATGGTTCTTTTGGTGCCTCCTGGGAGATGCTGTCTGTTTCCTCCAATTAATTGTCAGTACCACAGCTGGGTCAGCAGGAGGGGTGCTAATTCCCCTAAATCCAAGTGCACTACGTCCAAAGTATTCTAAGTCCTTTTTGTCCTGGGAAACAGCCGGTGGTCTTGTTTTTTAAAAAACGTTTAGCCATAGTGAAGTGTTAGGTTTTTAATTAAATATGAATATATAGAATCAGATGTACATTCTGCCACAGATTTTGCCAATTTCAACATAATTCGTAGTTCTACAACTTGGTCAGTTTGTCTCTAAGGAAAGTACTAGCTTTGGAGTGCATAAGGAACAAAGTTTAAATAAAGGAAATGAGATGTTTATAATACTGTCATTTATTGGATTTATTTCCCTCCTCACCTGTTGACAAAACAGTGTAGAAATCAAAGCTAGAAATACACTGAGTCGGATCTGTTGAAAAGCATAGTATATTTGTGACCAACATGTATGTTTGTTTCTCTGTTACTGGAATGAAACCTTCAAATGGATCACAAAGTCATGCTCACAGGTGCTCAGTTACCGAGAATTAAAATATGGAAGAATCCAGCCATCAGTATAGCCCAGTGCAGCCAAAGGAGGGCAAAACAAAACAAAACAGAACAGTTTTCCCTCTGCTCTTGCCTGCTTTTCCATCTCCTGCCACTAATCATCACAGTGAAGCTCTCATCCTTCTTTCCCTTACCTTTCTCTACACAGTGCCATACTCTGGTCCTGGGGAAAGAATGCTGCTAGTCCCTGGAACTGGCTTACAGAAAACTCTCGCTGGTTTTTCCAGCACCCAAAAACCTCCCATTGTTTTGTAGGATTAATTTTAGGTTATTTTGTGGATCACTGACTTCTGTCATAAGCTAGCTACTCTTGTGTACTGCAGTACTTGTCAAATATGCAGAAGGAGCAACTTCCACTAATCCTCTAAAGCATTTTAAAGCTTTTGATTTAAAGTAAAATGTATATATTCAAATACAGTCAGGCTTTGATTTTCATGCCATTTATGTTCTTAAAAAAAGCAGTGGAAGTTTAAATGGTGTAAAAAGAGACCAAAAGTCTATGGGAAATATGGGTTTTGGTTCCAGGCTCACAAGATAACCTCCCTAGTTTATACAGTAGAGTACAGTAGAACAGGCTTTATTAAAAAATGGAATTTAAACTTACTACAATACAGGTGCTAACTCTTTTTTTAAGTTGAGGATGAACTTGATACAGCATCACCGTTACTACCATGTTGTTGAATTCAGAATTTGTGAGTGTTCATATGTACTGGCTGGGGAGGTGGGAGTACTGGGATGTGCCCACCTGCTGCTCCTGCCAGAGAGCAGGATTAGGCACTTGTTCCATTCCACCTGCCTGCCCAGCATTCTAAATGGGTAGTGGGGTCCAGGGGTTAGCCCACTCTGCCCAGCACTCCGGTCAGGAAGCAGGGTCAGGGCGTGGAGGCTTGCCCATTCCCTGGCTATAATGCTAGACGGGTGGAGAGGGGTAGGAATGCTGGGCAAAGTGGTGCAAGCATCTTTAACTGCTCCCCATCTGAACTGCCAAGTGGGTGGGTAGAGTGGGGCAAGCCATCTATTCGCTCCCTGGCAGGAGTGCTAGGAGGGTGGAGTAGGGCAAGTCCCTGCGGTTGGGGCGTGGTGACTGTTGGCCAAATTTTCCATGGCTCATCACAAAGTTGGCTATAGAGGTTCAGGGAAGGTGTCCCATCTGCCTGCTTTTCCTCCTTCATCCTTTTCATTGCCCGCTCACGGGGCCCATCCAAGTGTCAGATCCTGGCTGTGTCACTAATGTGTGCATCTTGGCAAAATGACAGCCATAATTTAATGAGCTGAGTCTCTGATTGCAAAGGGAATGCTGTGATTCAGGACATGCAAATGTTTTGTCAAACAATTAGAGCAATAGTACTTTAAATTGGGACTCAATGAATATGTTCAGTCATATTTCATTGAATACTTTTTAGTTTGAAATTGAACTGACTGACTTCATTTTGCATTCCAGTTCCTGCTCTCCAATTCCATCCATGCTTAACAAATCAGAAATTTTTTCCTGGATGAAATTCTTTACTTTCTGGATTCTTTATGTATGGAAGAAATTTCCCTGCCCATTAAAACTAGTTGTTGTATATTTGGGAACCATTGTGTTGGGGAGGATTGGAGAAAAAAATAAAAATGAAAGCAAGCAAAATCTTGAAAATGAACACAGGCTATGTGAAAAGAGCAGGGAATGAAAAATCATAACAGTTTTAAGAGTTGTGGCTAAAATCTCTTTTTTGTTAAAAGAATATGAAATGTGTTTCAATATGAAGAATTGTAGCTTCTTCAAGGAGTGTCCCTGTGGGTGCTCAACTGCAGATGACTACATCTCCCTTCGCTTGTAATCAGAGATTTGAGATAGCAGTTCCCACTTGGTTATTCTATCTCATTTACCTTTTTCTACCCACCTAGCCTTCCTAACTCTCTTTGAGGAGCCCTGTAAAAAGGCCACACTACCCCAATAGTTTGTTAGCTACCATCACCCTCTTTATTGTGCACACCTTATGGCTATGCATCCCCAAAATAGTCCTGTGCCTTGCCACGCAGGTCCCAGACTCCCTAAGCTTTCGACGGTGACCTGGACTGCCCGTCTCACTGGCACAACTTGCTATGCTCCGGCGGCTGGAGTAGGGGGGTTAGGGCCCTCCCTCTCTCCGAACCCCGGCCCAGGGCCCTAAGGCAGGGACTACCTGTCCCTGCTCAGCGGATGGGGTATTGCCACTAAACCCGCCTGCTCACGGGCTCCACAACCCTGCCCTGGGTCGCTTCCTACTCCGCCCCTCCTAGGGGCCGGTCCCCTTGGGTGCCCTCTCCTCACCATCTGGTCCTTCTAGCTCCTCGCGGTCTTCTCCTCCCCTTCCTGGATGGCAAGCCTTCCTTTTAAACCCCGCGCCGGCAGGGCTCCGGGCGTCACCGCACCTGCAACCCGGGTCACCCCCTCCATGACATCATCCCCCCGCGCCGCGCTAGCCCCGCCTCCCGGGCGTTTCCTGTCGGCGCGCCATGCTCCCCACATCCTGCGGAGTCCCTGCGATAGGCCTGCTAGGTCCTCCTGAGTGCGGGGTGGGAGTGCCCCATCACAAGCCCTTTCACAAGCATCTATTGTGATGTGAGGTAAGCCATCTTATATGCTTAGGCACTATAGAACCAGTGCCAGCACAGAGAGAGGGGGTTCTACTCACATTATTTTCTAGCATAGGAAAAAACTGAAGCATCAACAAATTTGCAAAGACCCAGTGTTTCAGAATGATCATGTATCATTATGTTACTACAATTCCAGAACTGGAAAAAGGGTGCTGATTCTCCATCCTCGACTTTCAGGACACACATTTTCTTAAATTAATACTTCCCTTGCACAGGAGCTTCAGTACAAACTACTGCTCTTTGGGCTGTCCAATGCACTTGGACATTTCTAAAAGTTCTTGCAGTGGTAGTGGGTCGACTCTGCAGACATGATGTCACAATATTTCTCTTTTCAGGAATGGGAAATAATTTTTGATGGGGGAGGGCCACTCCAAGATTTTCATCATATTAATAGAGGAGATGCAGGGTCTGGGATGGAGGTTGGGTGCTTGGGGTAAGGGGTTAGGGTGTAGAAGGGAATGTGGGGTTTGGGTGAAGGAGGTACTTGTGACCTAGGA